GGGGGCCCTGATCCTGTAGCCCGTCTGTGTCCCCAGGTGCCGGGCAGGGCTGGGATTTCCCAGCTTGATGGTGCCCACCCTACCCCACAGGCAAACCCGCCGGGCTGCGACCGCGTGGAGGACCTGGCGAGCCTGGTGTATCTCAACGAGTCCAGCGTGCTGCACACGCTGCACCAGCGCTATGGCGCCAACCTGCTGCACACCTACGCGGGGCCCGCCATGCTCATCATCAACCCGCTCAGCTCCCCGGCCATGTACTCGGAGAAGGTAGCATCCACCCAGCCGTGCTTGCGCCCGGAGCCCCAGGGTCCCTGGCAGGGGGCGAGAGGCTGGGCTCGACGGCATTTGTCACCTTTCCCTCTGCCCACCCGGGGGGTGGAGGCTGCCTCCGTGGCAGGGGGCTCGGGCTAGACGGCTTTGCTCTCGGCAGTCTCTGGAGCCTGCTTGGGGTTCGCTGGCCCTGTGGGGCCGAGGTCTTCCCCCTGTGACCCTAGGTGTGCATGGGGGTGTCTGAGCTGGTGAGGGGCTGGCGGGGGTCGGGTGGCTGCTTGGCCCCCACCCCACCCCACCCCACCCCACGCGAACGCCCTGCCCTGCCCCGCGCAGGTGATGCACATGTTCAAGGGCTGCCGGCGGGAGGACATGGCCCCGCACGTCTACGCCGTGGCCCAGGCCGCCTACCGCAGCATGCTGATGAGCCGCCAGGACCAGTCCATCGTGCTGCTGGGGGCCAGCGGCAGTGGCAAGACCACCAGCTGCCAGCACCTGGTGCAGTACCTGGCCACCATCGCCGGCAGCTCTGGCAAGGTCTTCTCAGGTGGGTGCGCGCTGACTGGCCCCGGCTCCTCGCGCCGTTCGGGCGGCACTGGTTGCTCCTCGCCGGGTGGGAGGCAGGGGCTCCTGGCACAGCCTGGTGGGGGTGCTGCACGGGCACTGGCTTGGCACGGCACACGCTGAGCGGCTGCCTGCGGTCACGCTGCAGCGGAGAAGTGGCAGGCGCTGTACACCGTCCTGGAGGCGTTCGGCAACGGCAGCACCAGCATGAACGGCAACGCCACGCGGTTCTCCCAGATCCTCTCGCTGGACTTCGACCAGGCCGGGCAGGTGGCTTCTGCCTCCATCCAGGTGAGAGGTGCCGCAGGGCTGCCGCATCCTCGTTGGCATGTGCGGCATGCGCCGTCACGGGGCTGAGCCCTGCCAGGCACGGGAGTGACCGCCTGCACGTGCTGGGGCCTGGCTGCCGGCTCGGACAGATCCCCAAAGTCCCCACAGAGGAAGGGCTGGGGTCCTGCAGGGCCTGCCTGCGCTGACCGTCCATGGGCCGACGCTCCTGCCTTCAGCAGCGAGGTCGGCTCTCCCGTGGCATTTCCGCCGGCAGACGCCCTCCGGCTGACTGAGCTCGTTTGCGAGCGCTCGGCCGCGCTCTCCCCAGTGTTTGCATCTGCAGAGGGGAGTTGCAGGCGGTTATTGATTTCCTTTCCGTGCTGGATTAGCTCGTGATAACGAGGTGTCTCCTTCGCAGCGCCTGGCACGGCAGGATAAGCAGGCGCGGCGCGGTCGCCAGCCGGGCATGCAGCCCCGGGGCAGGGAGGAAGCGCGGGGGGTTGGGTGCCAGCTGCGGGGTGTGGGGCAGGCAGCGTCCACCCGCTCCATGTGCCCGCTGCTCCGCTCTGCCCCCAGACAATGCTGCTGGAGAAGCTGCGGGTGGCCCGGCGGCCGGCTAACGAGGCCACCTTCCACGTCTTCTACTACCTGCTGGCCTGCGCCGACAGCACCCTCAGGTAAGGCCAGACGGGTGCTCCCTGCTCCTGCACAGGATGGTGCCCGGCTGCCTCAGCCTGCAGCCCGGTGGGTTTCCGAGAGCCGTGCGCAGGTCCCCGAGGGTCCCTAATGCCCTGTGGTCCTGGCCTGGCCGGTCCAGCCGGGATGCAGCGAAGGGTCTGCGGGGCTCCCAAGCCCAGCACCTCCGTGCTGCAGCCGGGCACCGAGGCGGGCTGCTGAGGTCCGTCTGCATGCCCAGCTCTGGGGGGAAGCCACCCATGCCACGGTGCTGAGGCCCTGCTTTGCCCCTGCAGGACCGAGCTGCACTTTGGCCACCTGCCCGAGAACAACGTGTTCGGGATTGCGCCGCTGCACAAGGTGAGCCCGCATAGCCGAGCCTGCACGCGTGCCCCCTCGGCTGGGGCTGCAGCCCATCCCTCTTGCTGCAGGAGGTCCTGGGGGCACGGGGCAGGTTCACCCTGTGTGCCCAGGTCAGGGCTGTGCTCGGAGGGGGCTGGGGCAGGAGCAGACCCCGGGTGATCGTGCCTGGCCCTTCCTGCAGCCAGAGGAGAAGCAGAAGGCAGCGCAGCAGTTCAGCAAGCTGCAGGCTGCCATGAAGGTCATGGGCATCTCCGCCGAGGAGCAGAAGGCCTTCTGGCTCGTCCTGGGCGCCATCTACCACCTGGGCGCTGCCGGAGCCACCAAAGGTAACGTGCGGCTCGGGGGCCCTGCCCGCGTCCAGCAGAGGAGCTGGTCGGACGATGAACCCCAGTGAGCATCATCCCGTGCTCTGGAGCCAGGCTTTTGGCAGCCCCGAGCGCTCCCAGGCCCAGCTGGCTCCTGCCCCCGCTCTCCAAGTGCGGTCCGACCAGTGCTGAGCTGCTTGAGCAGGACATGGCCGAGCCCCCAGCACCGTGGGGCTGGGATGGGGCTGATCTCCAGCGCCCGGGGCAGGAACGATGTGGGGTGGGTGCTGTGCTCGCTCCTGGGGTGAAGCAGGCTGGCTCCCGCAGGGAGCCCGTCCCTGTTGAGACAGGGAGCAGAGACCCCCAGGCCGGCTGCGGGGACCCCATGGGGTCCCCGGCTAACGATCCCTCCCGTTTCCCCCCTGCAGAGCCCTGCGTAGCCGAAGCTGGTAACTCCCGGGGGTCGGGGGGTGCTGGGTGCCGGGTGCTGGTGCCTGGCTTAGCCCTGCGCAGTCGCCTTGCAGGTGCCCCTGCTCCGGGGGTCGTCTGGGCAGCGCTCACCGGGCAGCGGTGCTGGGAGCTGGTGGGAGATCCCAGCCGTGGGGCGCGGGGGTCTGGGCCGTGGCAGGCACCGGGCTCTGCGGGTTGTGGGGCCGCTAGGGGGCGGCACGGGGGGTTTGCTTCGCCCCGCGGCCCAGGGAGAGGCAAAGCTGCCACAAGCCCCCCACGCAGCTGCTTGGTGCTCTCGGGGCCTGGCGTGGGTGGCAGCCGCGCCGTGCGGGCGTGTTGGGAAGCAGGTCTGTGGTCGCGGGCTCCTGGTGCCCAGGAAGATGCCGGGGCGTCCCGCCTGGCTGTGGAGACAGGCCCCTGCCGCTGGGGATTGGTGAATTGGTGCCGCGTGTCCTTGTGCTGCTGCCCCCCCCCTTGGTGGGTCCTGGCTGCGCACCCGCCCCGTCGCAGTGCCCGTTGGCCAGAGCAGTGCCGGTGCAGGGAGGCACGCAGCCTGCGGGCCCCTGGAGGGGAAAGGCCGGGCCCTGGCGGCTGTGTGGCGTGGCCGTGGCCGTGTGCGTGCCGCGTGGCGCCGTCCCGTGTGTTCTAACCCCCTGTTTTTGTTTGCATGGTGCATGCTGTCCCCTTGCAATGCAGACGCCGACGAAGGTAAAGCTCCTCCCTCCCCCTCGCTCCCCGGTGTCCTGTCCCGTCCCGTCCGGTCCGGTCCGTGTCCCTTGTCTGCGTCCCCCATTAACAGCCCCCGCTTTGTCCTGGTGCCATGTCATGCAGCTGCGGGTGGGCTGGGAGGGCTGGTTTGGCCGAAGATCTGCTGGGAGAGCTGTGCCCGATGCTGCCAGCACCACCCTGCGGGGCCGGCCACCCCCTGTCCTGTGGCCTGCCTGTTCTCTGCCCCCATGGATGCCCGCCTGCCTGTCTGCCCGGCAGCCTGCATGGCTCTCGCTCCCCGCGCAGCACTGCCCGGGCTCCCTGGGCCCACGCCGGAGCGCCCTGGACACCCAGCTGAACCCCGCGCTCCTGCCCTGCCCTGCCCTGCCCTGCCCTGCCCTGCTGCCCCCCAGCAGAAGTCTCCTTTCACTAGTCTCCTAAATACGCTTCCATTACGTGCCCCCGGAGCCGAGCACGAGGGGTGAGGGGGTCAGAGCCTGTGCCCCCAACGAGACCCCTCTGCCCCCGCACGCCTGGGGATGCACGGGAGCATCCTCCGCTGCTGCATCGGTCTGGGCAGGTCCTGGCCAGGCTGGGGGCTGCCTCGGCGCCGTGGGCTGCCTGGCATGGAGCGGCCCGGCCCGTGGTGCTGACTGCCTCCTCTCCAGCCGGCAGGAAACAATTTGCCCGGCACGAATGGGCCCAGAAAGCTGCCTACCTACTGGGCTGCAGCCTGGAGGAGCTCTCCTCGGCCATCTTCAAGCACCAGCCCAAGAGCACCCTGCAGCGCTCCACCTCCTTCCGCCAGGGCCCCGAGGAGCCCGGGCTGGGCGACGGCACAGGTATGGGGGCGCCTGACGGCTGGGAAGGAGTGGGGGTGACGTTGTGGGAGCCCTGGGTCCCCTGCTCGCCCAGCTCCCTGTCTGGGGTGTACAGCTACTGTGGCACACCTTGTAGGGTGAGGCGAAGGGATGTGACCAAGGTCGCCAGGGGTCTGTAGCAGAGCAGAGAGCCGGCCCCTACACTCTCCTGTCTCCGGGTTCCTGGTGAAACCCGCAGGGGTCCCAGTGCAGGGAAGAGGAGCACGGGGAAGCTGGCTGCAAGGCTCCTGGGGGCAGGTGGGAGCCAGCTCACGCAGAATCATCTCCCCGCACAGGCCCCAAGCTGACGGCGCTGGAGTGCCTGGAGGGCATGGCCTCGGGCTTGTACTCGGAGCTCTTCACGCTGCTCATCTCGCTGCTGAACAGGTGCGTGTGCGTCTAGCCCGGCCCGCAGCAAAGTGCCCCGGCTGCTCCGCGAGCGGGGCCTGGCCCTGGGGAGGGCTGCCCCCCGCCCGCCCCCAGCCCTGTCTCCCCCGCGCAGGGCGCTGAAGTCGAGCCAGCACTCGCTGTGCTCCATGATGGTGGTGGACACGCCGGGCTTCCAGAACCCCGAGCTGGCCGGCCAGGGCCGCGGCGCCACCTTCGAGGAGCTGTGCCACAACTACGGCCAGGAGCGGCTGCAGGCGCTCTTCCACGAGCGCACCTTCGTCCAGGAGCTGGAGCGGTACAAGGAGGTAGTGCTCCCACCTCCCTGCCTGCCGCCGCGGAGGCGTCCCCCAGCTCGGGGAGCCGGAAGGGGCCCGGGCAGGTCCCGCCACCGACTGCGTCGCCCCTTCCTCTCTGCCCCGGCTTCTCCACCCCCCGTAGCCGCCGGCTGCTGTCTAACCCTGTAGCGCAGGCCTCGTCCTAATCTGCGTCTCTGGATCGGGTGCTTTTGGAAGCAGGGGTCTCCACGGCCTCCATGACGTTGTCCCCACATGCGGGGGACAGCTCTAAAATCAGTCCTGGCCCCCCCTCACCCCCTCTGTGTGGGGTGGCCCCAGGCAGGGGCTGTTGCTGTGACCCCGGCACCCCCTGGGCCGCCCAAAGCCCTCTGCCTCCCGGGGGTCACAGGCTCAGAGGCAGGCCCCCGGCAAGGGGAGCACTCTGGGGTCATGGAGCGGGGCGCGCAGCATGATGCCGGTGCTTTCCCCGCGCCGTGGGGAGACTGGAGCCGCCCGGGGAGACCCCTGCGGATGAGCGTTGTAGACTCTCGAATAGACTAACGAACCGGCTGGCCCTGGCCGGTCCCCATAACCGTGATCTCTAGCCACAGGCACTAATCTCCGTCTGTCCGTCCTCTCTAGGAAAACATAGAGCTTGCATTAGATGACATAGAGCCCGCTCCCTCGGGCTCTGTGGCCACTGTAGACCAGCCCTCTCACCAGGCACTGGTAAGCACAAGCCGGGTCCGCGCGGCGAGGCGTCTCGTCTCCCCTCCCTCCCGGCGCCGCATGCTCCCCGCACCCTGCAGCTCGGACCCCTGCTTCACCCGCCCGGGAACCGTGCCGCTCTCCGAACCGCGCCGCGGCAGGGCCGGGGACCTGGCGCGTCCTGCGCAGGCAGGCAGGGAAGGGGCCGGCATTTCTGGCTCCTGCACGCGCCCCGCTGCAAAGCCACTGCTGCCTCCGGCTCCCGGCGGGGCCTCTGTTGCACGCCCAGCCAGGCACGCGCAGCACTGGGCCTGCAGCTTCCAGGTGGCTCTGCCCGTGCTGAGCCGGCTCGGCTGGGAGGTACCGTCTGCCCGTCCCTTCTAGCTGAAGGGCACCGAGGTTTGTAGCCGCAAGTCATGCTCGGTGTGAGCGGGCGCATCTCTGGTGTGGGGCGCACAGACCCTGGGCTCCGGGTGGGAGGGAGCGGTGCCCGTGAGCGGGCTGTAGCACTCAGGGCCCCTCCTCTGGGCCTGACTCGAGACCTCAGACCCCGGCTGTGCTGGAGCTCGGGGTGCCCTGCAGGCTCGGGCACCCCCGGGATGCCTCGGCCGTCGAGTGCTTGGGGGCCACGGCTCCATGCCAGGCCACGGGGAAATGGGGGTCTGGTGCAAGGGACCGTCCCCCTGGGCTTTGGAGGGCTGCTGGGCTGGGGAGAGCAGCAGTCCAGGCCCCTTGCAGGGAGTCTGGCTGGGTACGTCCCCTGCCCCGATGCCAGCAGGTGCCTCCCCACAGCCTCCGTGCATCCCATCCCTGCACCCTGCGTCCCCGTCCGTGCGTCCAGGTGCTCAGCGCCCAGAGCAGCGCCAGCCCCAACCCTCCCTGCAGCACCGCGAGTTGCACGCTTCCCTCCCTGCACGCCCGGGGTCCCGGCGGGGTGCACGCCCGCCCATCCATGCCCAGGTGTGGGGGTGACGCGGTGCGTTGGCCTTCCTGCAGGTACGCTCACTGCCCCGCACGGACGAGGCTCGGGGGCTGCTGTGGCTGCTGGAGGAGGAGGCGCTGCAGCCCGGGGGCAACGAGGACACCTTGCTGGACCGGCTCTTCACCTACTACGGGCCCCAGGATGGAGACAAGAAAGGTGAGGGAGGGGGGCAGGGCCACAGTGCCCGGCGTTGTGGGGAGCCGGGCTGGCCCTCTCCCGCGGTGCCTGGGTGAGGCACTGACCGAGGCATCTCTGCAGGGCCCAACCCCCTGCTGCGCAGCGAGAGGCCGCGGCACTTCTTCCTGGGCCACAGCTCGGGGACCAGCTGGGTGGAGTACGACGCCGCGGGCTGGCTGGGCTACGTCAAGCAGAACCCGGCCGCGCACAACGCCGCCGCGCTGCTGCAGGACTCGCAGAAGTGAGTCGGGGCGCGGCCGCGGGGAGAGCTGGGCTCCGGGGCGGGCGCGTGGCCTTCCCCTCGTGACCCCCGTGCCTCTCGGCAGGAAGATCATCAGCAGCCTGTTTGCGGGCCGGGCCGGCACGGCCCTGGTGCTGTCGGGCTCCGTGGCGGGCCTGGAGGGCGGGTCACAGCTGGCGCTGCGCCGGGCCACCAGCATGCGCAAGACCTTCACCACCGGCATGGCGGCCGTCAAGAAGAAATCTCTGTGCATCCAGATCAAGCTGCAGGTGGTGAGTGGCCCAGCGCTGCACCCGCGGGGGGGTCCCCCTATCCTGCCTGGCTCTGCAGCACGTGCATGTGCGAGGGGACCCCACGGAGAACCCGCGGCCTGAGCCGAGAGGTCTCCAGGCCCGTGTCTCTCTGGGCTTCCTGATGGGGCCGACGTCTTCCTGGCCCAGACCCTTGGTAGCACGTTGAGGGGCCTGCAGTGAAATGCAGGGACTGCTGCGCGGTTCCCTGGGAGGACAGAGGCTGGGAGCAGGGGCCACGCGGCGCCTGGTTTGAGCAGAGGGAGGTGTGGGCCCAGCACTG